TCGTGCTCCACAGCAGTAAAGCAAGCCGGACAACCTCTGGAAATGCACTCGCTAGTAAACCAGAATCAAGGGTCGTCAGGCGAGTGCGCGGCATCGACATCTGCTACTATAACCCAGACGATGCGGCCACATCTAGAAGCCCTGCAGACTTGCCGTGGTGCGCTTTTCATATCTCGTTGATTCCGTGTAATGGAATGATTTACATTATTTAAAAATTATTACACACCGTCCAACAATTCCCCACTATACGATATTATGCATATATTATAAACTCTGCGCTGCTTACTGTGTTACATGCAAGCCGCGTGAGGCAGCGTTTGCGTCAGTGCACGATGTAGATGAAAACATGCTTCTCAATCAGTTATACTGTGTATGTATGTAACGATAAGTCCATGGTACAAGCAGGTACTATGGCTTACATTTAAAAATATAACATGCTTTCACCAGGCGCCCACACAACTCGACTAACCGACGTCCCTTTCCCGCAATCGGGGAAGAAATTTTCGGCGGTTTTGAATCGCTGTCATAACTGGCACACAGATGATGGCATGGCTCGTTTGCGTTCGCCTTACTCTCTTGAGATGCTGTCCCTTCCTAATCCCGTCGTCTTTCTCTTGCTTCTTCTCCTAGATTTTTTTTTATTTTTAAACGTTTCTCCCTCAGTTTTTTTTATGTTGTTGTTTATACTATTCTCCGGACTTCTTCCCTCCTGTCGTGACAAGCTATAAATCGACGCGGAAAATGTGTAAATATTATTATACCTTGAAAAAGACGGGGCTCTCCCGACGCAAACGTCGGCTGAATGAACAGTTATCTTGATGATATGTGGGGTTTAACGTTCCAAAACCACCATATTATTATGAGAGACACCGTAGTGAAGGGCTCCAGAAATTTCGACCACCTGGGGTTCTTTAACGTGCGCCCAAATCTGAGAACGCGGGCCTACGGCATTTTCACCTCCATCGAAAGTGCAGCCGCCGAAGCCGGGATTCGGTCCCGCGACCTGCGGGTCAGCAGCCGAGTACCTTAGCCACTAGACCACCGCGGTGGGGCAACAGTTGTTATCTGAAAGCGCATTAACATCCATATATATATATATATATATATATATATATATATATATATATATATATATATATATATATATATATATATATATATATATATATATATATATATATATATATATATTTCTCATATTTTGTATACGGACACGTGTCGGTTTAATCATGCATGCTTATCTATATACTGATAAAATTCTTGCACACTTTTCATTTCTACCTTCCCACAGGTGCCCCACAGCCAGGCATAAGGGCCAGCACGCTTGGCCTTATAGCGGGCTTCCTGGTGAAAGCAGCTGAGGATTGCATTACTTGCGACGACTGCATCGGCAAAATCAAGGCTCCCAGCTCATCTGGACCAGCTACTGCTGTGATATTTAATTTAGACAGGGGAGGGCTTTCATACCCAACGATCTCATTTCTTTCCTTTGTGAGCACTCTAGAAAGGGCCGCGGAAGCATTTGCGCCATTGGCCATTTCCAAAAAGAGGCCGATGGCACTTTTTGTGCAAACTGTGCTACCTGCAGTGGCCTTGAACCCTCTTTTCAGCCATAAAGGCGCTACTAGCGAGCACCGAGAAGCCATGGCGCGGCTAGTGTTGCAAAAATTTAGCCGTCCTTTCTTCTCAAACTACGTGCGGGACAAAACAGCCAAAGAAGGAAAGAGAAAGAGAATAGCCGAAAAGCCAAAATCTCGCAAGATTTTAAAAGTTTAGTTGCATGCCTCCATTGTATCATGTACGCGCCCAGAACCTTGCTAGCACATTTTATTGAACTATGACCCAAATGCACGCAGCTCTGTACGCGTACATATGTTTTTCTTTATTGCAGACACAAGCCGTCACTGTGTGCCAGCAAGTAGGATATTCTTCGAAAGTGCAGAAACTTTGTTTGAAACATCAGCTTTAACTGGCATATTGTGGCACGCATAAGTAAAGCGACAAATGTGTTTTGTTTCATTTTGAAGTGCTGTAACATTGCTCGAATCACACGCATACACTCGCCAAATTCTTTTAGCAGAAACCTTGATATCACTTTGAGGGATCTGCTTTTCATTGACAAACGAGTATAATGGCACATTTTCAGCATGTGTACGCGCCCCAACTGCGGGTGTCGCCCTTGGGCGCTATCAATCAAACATAACCACTAGTACAACAAAGGCGGTACTATTCCGCCCTAAAAATAAGTCTGTTAATGAAAACATACATTTCAAGTATGGCGATACTATTATTGAGTTAGTAAATTGTATAAAAATTCTTGGAGTTACATTTTCGAGCAATATGCTTTGAAACGATCGCATTTACAGTGTGCTGGGTCAGTTATCTCGCGTAGAGGGCACGGTGTACAGTGGCAAAACTGTTCTACTATACAAGGTAAAATTCTTACTTTATAAATGACTGTTCTGTTGGCATCTTGCTTATTGTTTCTTGGTATGAAGGACTACGACTAACACGCGCTTACAAAAACTGTACCTGATGCAAAAGACGTATATTAGAATAATTTTTTACTGGTCGTATGATGCTCGCAGAAGTGAATTGTTTCAACAGGCTGGAATACCACCCCTACATCGTCTCTACGATTTTAAGTTAGCATTGGTGGTCAGGCGTCAATTTCAAGAAAGTCGACATTATTTGTACGACCTCTCGAAACTGCAGCCAAATAATTTGTTCGAAACATGACATAAAGAAACATGGAAAATAAAAACTTCGAGAACAAACTACTCCACAGATAGGTTGTTCTACACAGTTTCTACGTTAATTGATAAATATGTGAAAGCTGGCATAGATTTCTTACTCTGTACCCGAACTCAATTGCACGATATACACATGTATAGTTTTCAAGATTTCTTTGCAGTTGCTACATTGTTATCATGGTTGCTATTTTTATTTTTAGAATTTGAACTTGATATTTTTGTAATTGTTGCTTAGATAACATTGCTAACTGTTTGCCAGCGCTGTCGTGCTAAAGGCGTCTGTGGGCCTATGTCAAGCTGCCTCTTTCGAAGAGCAGCTTTTACCTGCCGCTGTCCTTCATCAAACTATTGATGAAAAATAAAACATTATTATTATTATTATTATTATTATTATTATTATTATTATTATTATTATTATTAACTATGCTCGACAAGATGATGATAATGATGACGATAAAAACTTTATTGGGGTCGCAATGTGTTGCCCTCGATAGGCACATCACTGCCTTTACCATATCGTCTCATCGCACGGACATATAAAATCATAGAAACGCGCATCGGCCAGCGCTCCCCGTTCCAGCAGACAAACTCCCGTAGCGAAATTTGACGCACAATTTTTGTTGTGTAGGTCACAGTAAGAGTTAAAGCTTCAATTCCTGTGTCTCTCCTTGATATGCGTCCGTGGGCGTATGTGCATTATTCTCTTCTATCAATTGACTACAAGTGTAACACCTGTCCAGGGCGAGTGTCCAAGGTAAGTGCTCAACAGGGGCACTGCGTTTCACCTGACGCGTCCTAAACAACCTAAAATCAGTTTGATATTCTATTACCAATGAGTACATTATTAGTCAAAAGCTTTATGAATACTAAATTGAAGTTTTTTTAGGCTGGAATGGCAAAAACAACCATGCAGCAAGACATTTCTACGCAAATATACAGCTTTAGAAGTCAATCAACCAGTATAGCCTAACTACTAAAATGTAACACATAGCACACGTTAGCCTTTTCAGCAAAAAACAATCACACGTATAGGCAGTTTGTCACAGAAGCAGACGCATGGTATCAGTCCGTCGCCCTCCTGCCGGCCGCACAGTAGCAGACGAACAGGTTATAGGTAGCGCCACCTACGGCGAGCGATTGAACGAGAGCGGGGACACGCGCTCCCATAGGAACCCCGCTATCTGAACAGGTCAGGAGTGTAGTAGGTCATGCTCGTGGCACCCTGTGTAGTACTTTGTGCCCGTGGCGTGGATAAGCCTACTTGCTTTCCCGCCGCGCCCTATTTGCAACGGGCTGTACTGCGTTTGGTGTTGCCACAATAAAGTGTTGCGACTTGAGCAGTATCGTGTTCCCGCCACGGCGACGGTTAACGCGTGCCCTGCGGCTCGCTAAGACCGGACCCACGCTGGTGGCCGTACTCCTTCGGGATACGTGTACACCACAAACCGTATCTACAATTTTGGATGCGAAAAAAATTTTTGGGATCGGAGTTGTCCCGACTTCCTGTCCAAATTTCGAGCCCAAACCAGCATTGAGCCCCTACCTCTGCCACATCCATCATCGCCATGTTGAACTTTCGTTTCATTGAGCCAATAAATTTGAGAGTCTAAAGAAGCTTGAAAGGCTGTCTTGGCACACTTCAGAGATGCAACTAGGTGGAGCATTTGAAAATCTCAAGGGGCCGGTGGTGGTAGTATCTTGATTTCTCCCAAAGTCGTGAGAGCCCTTCTTGCATGCCTCCGAGCCAAAAGACCAAAGCCGGCTAATCCAGCATGCGTTGGCGGCTGTGGCAGCCTAAGGAATTCCCGCAGACCTCCTCCGAGATAGCACAACCAGTCTCTACTGGTCCCGTCTGAAGAGCACACTTTAAAGTGGATGTTGTATGTCTTTGGGAAGTTCAAACAGTTTGAATAGTGAAACTAGCAGAGCAAATCGAACAGCAAACGCTATTTAAAAAGTTTTGAAATTTTGAATATTCCCACACCTCCAAGGTAGGACATTTGGGTGTACCAAATTATTTGCGTGTAAAAACGGTACAAGTGTGGCGTTGCTGAACATAAACTGACTTTTCCTTGGAACCTTTGTTGCAGTCAAGGTGCTGGATGTACTATCAATGTTCTAGCACAGTAGTTTGCAACTTGGTGCAGGGATGAAATAGCGCTTGCTTACTGAAAGTCTCATCTTAAACTCTGACAGTTCAAAAGCCCACGAAGAGTTCAAAGCTAAATCAAAAGAGATCGCAACAGAGACATGTTCAAATGCTTTATTTTGTGTACATGTCACACACACCTTTCCATTTTTCCACATGTACTATTAACAAATTTGAACATTAGAACTTAAAACCAGCAACATAAAATACATACACAACTACACTAACAGTTTTTTTATTACATTATGTACACGAAATGTAAAAGAATATTCTGTACAAGAAAGCAGAACTTTCATGCAGACCTGCTTTAGTCATGGTTGGGGGGAGGGGGAGGGCGGTAGAAGCGTTCCGCGTGTCTGCTCGCGAGCGCGGAAAGTTCATGTCAGTTTAGCCAAACGCACAGGCAAATAGATTAAGCGAAATAAAATACAATAAAAGGTTACAATGGAAAGACAAAAGATGGGCAGAAGAAACATCGTGGGCTCGTCTAGTAACACATGTGGTGGGCATATATTTCAATAAACATCTCCGCACTTTCGGTCACTGCATCGACGCCTCTCGGAGGTACTCGTCTGCAAAGAATAAATAGGCACACCCGCATATAACTTCAACCGCCTCTCCCACCCAGCAAGCAGTACGCACGTGTCACTGTGTGGGCTGGTCACAAGCGTAACATGCAGTCTCTTTAGCAGGCTTGTTCAGTGAAGAACGTGCAATCATCATACTTATAGTAACCACGCTATTGTAGAGTAGCCATCTCGAGTAGCCTTATTAGTAGAAACAGCTGTGCAAGTATCTTGTGGCAGCATGCTTGTTTGCAAACCGGATAGCTTCCTTGTGCAAGCCAGAGTAACACATCTAGATGGCACAAGTGACAGTTCCTCACTGGGAGTTGCAATTCGAGCCTACCATAAAAGCTCCAGCGCAACCGACTAGTGCAGATTCAGTTGAGTAAACTGGCAGCTCTGGGTGTCTAAATGCGGTCACGCCTGACAAAAGCTGCCGGCATTGATTTAAGGAAGCAACGAGAATTTGTAAATACGTCAGAAACATCTGCTTGGCTTCACCAATTTAGTGAACAGTAGCTCACAGTTTAGAGAATGAAAACGTTACAGCTGTCGAACTCTGTCAAGCATGCTTGTGCAAAAATGACACGTAGCTGCCAGCATGAACGTGTGCACTAGGGGAAGCAATGACTGAAGGTGTGTTCACTGAACAATTCCTGCTACACAAAAAGTCCTTTCCCCACCCAGAGAACAGAGTTGGAGAAAAAAGTTTGAAACTTCGTCAAGCATGCATGCAACAGGAAGTCAGGAGACGTCCCGTCACATCTACATGCAACGAGATTATGTAAAACAGAATTTCCCATCACATGTCAAGCAGGCAGAATAAGCAGCTTCCACCAAAAGTGCAGCACACACGGTTGCTTGCGTCATGCTACCCCAGCGAGTCCGCGTGCCTCTGTAAAGACGAGGCGCACCACACAAGAACACGGATAAGCGAGAAACATTGGCCGAGACCACTCCCGAGTGCACAATTTGGCAAGCTGGCAAGCACATGCAAGTGATCAACATTGGTTTTTATTATTTTACCTTTAATTATTAGGACGCAACAAACAAGCTTCGAGAGTTTCGACAATGCTCAATAATGTCGGCTGCACAAGCCATAAGGCGCTGCATGCCTGTTGCACTCGGCAACGCCACATTCTTTTTGCATTTCCACCTGGTGGAGGAGGCACAGGAAGAAAAATACACTATATTACTATATTAATTTAATTTTTTAAAGCTAGAAACAGCAAGCTAATCAAGTCTGGAAAGAATTAATTGATAATGCAGCGTGTTAGAGTGCATGGTTCAAGCCAACATGTCCAAGGTGAAGATATTTTAAATTAATGTGTGGCACCAAAACAACGGGAGGGAGGGTGAAGCCTCGATGAAGTGTAGAATTTTATATGGAATGAGCTTTCGCGAGTAGATCAGGATAATGCCCTCACTGAGAGGCTAGCGTCTAACGACTGAAAAAGAAGCGAAGTTTTCCAAAGCACCATTATGCGAGCACTTGCGGACAAGTACTGTGTCAACAACGCAAACGCTGTCTGCACGCTACGAGAACTGCTACGTGTTCACTTGTCTTTCCGACAAAAACTTCTCACTTGAAGAAACAAAGATTTCCAAACCAAATGGTTTATAGACTGCCTCCAAGTTATTCAAGCCAGAACAAGAAAGACTGAGAAGTCCAAGCTTCTGAGAGTTGCCTGCATACGCATGCCATCATCGTCGCCATCTTGTTTGCCTGTCGAGTACTTCCTCGATACTGTAAAGCAAACAGATAACATGCACGACGCGAGTTGCACAGGGGATCAGCTGCATCTCCCCAAGGCTATGCCACTTGGACACCAAAACGCACAGACAACTTGGCAGCACAAGTAGCAGATCATGCATGGTAGTTATACTGTGCTGAAAGCAGGCTTGGCAGTGATACGCAGTCTGCTTGTCGTGCATATCTTTAGGAGTGCGATGCCAGCAAAGCACGAGAGGGGAGCCATTTGGTCCCACCACCAGTAATAAAGATGGGTATATGACGAAATCGTGGCTCTATGAAATAATGACAGTGCTGTTTTTCGGACTTCGTGACAGCTTTGCCTAGCCAGTTCATAACTTCGCACAACTCTGCACAGCAAAGGCAAGCAGCAAGAGCGAGTGAATTTACTGACAATCTAGTACGTTGGGACCATCTTGCATATCGTCAACAAGCACAACCTCTCAAGGTCAGGGTCTAGGGTCTGTTTTGAGCCAGAGCATGTGTTGCCGTTTGCTGTGACATGCTGACATAAAACTCAATGCAAGTCATAACGCGGTCCCAGTGACCGAGTCATGGAAGCATTCCTGCAAGACTGGGCATGCCAACAGTTCTGTGCAGTCCATTTTGGCTTCTAGTGTGCTGCATTCTCGCCAAGCTGCCCTGTTTTTTGATAACACAAACGAGGGGAGGGTGAGCAAACCCAACAGCAAGTGGGCAAGGCAAGTGCCCATACCAAACAGCAAAGTTGGCTTTTAGTCAGGTCTCGTTCCGATTTGCTTGCCTGCCTTGTTTGCCGCACTACCTCAACGCACTCCCATCGCGCTATAGCAGCTCTCTTCCTGAACGGTTTGAAAGCGAGTGGTAGTTGCAGGGCAAAGCGGTTATCACTCAGTGCTGACGCTGAGCTCGGACACTGGGACGGCCAGTTCGTACTTGTCCTTGGTGGGCACAATCGGCCGGCAGGGGGTGTAGCCATAGCCGCCTGTCTGCTGCTGCTGGCTTGAACAGATGCTCTCCGAGAGCTGCTGGCTCTCATGGGTGTGCGCAGCTTCCTGCTGCTGCTGCGAGATGGCTTCGAGCACGAGCTCCACGTCTCCAAGAAGCGGCCGCCGTTGGGGGTCGCTCGCCCAGCATTGCTCCATTAGCCGCCAGCAATCGTCTGTAAACTGAGGCAGCCGCTCAGGTCGAGCACCTGCGGGCAAGAAAGTTCTTTTAGTGCCAGTCTCCTAGCGCAAGTCTTGATGGAAGCTCACAGTGCTAGACAATAGACCACTTTCTAGCATACTGTGCGACAACCCATACTTGAGCAAGCGCACCCTTAGGCTTTTTAAGACATTTGAAATATATGCCAATGACTAGATTAAAGTGGCTGAGAACTCGAAGCTCAAATTGTGCACCAAAATCTGAGACCACTTTCTACATCTTGCAAAGCTGCACAACCTACTAGTCTTCCTTTCTAGTCTGATTCCCCCAAGTAGCAGTCTACTCTAGGCATTTCTATAATGTGCATGAACTAGCTCCATTAATTGTGCTGCTAAATGCTGTGCTAAGCATCTGACTTCATTCAGCACCGCCCAGGCTTGCCTAGATGATAGACTAGCTCAAACAGATACCTTTCTTAAAACTTGCACCAACCTTTTCTGACGCAGGACCACAGCTGATCCTTGGTCTGGCATTGTTCGAAAACGTAGGGCAGTTTTACGTGCCCCGCGCAGATGTACCAGAAGAGGATGCCAAAAGCGTATGTGTCAACGCTGTTGTCGTAGCGACCCGTGAACAGCTCAGGCGCCATGTGGATGGGGGTACCTACAATGCTGCCGGACATCATTGCCTCTGGCTTGCAGAAACCCAGGTCGGTCAGCTTTGCTCTGTCTGCCCTGTCCAGCTGCCGGCAGAAACGGTCATGGGTCACTCATGGACACTGGAACACAACACCTGTTGTCACAAATCAGTTGCCATTCATCTAATGCATGGAGGCTGCATTGGACGACAGGTAGCTTACTCCCCAGTACAGTCGACGTCCGATTTCTCAGACGACCGAAATTCCGGACATGCACGATTTCCAAGACTCATCTGTGGCACTCTCAAGTTCCCCATAAAGTTAATGTATTAAATAGTCAGAAATTCCTAATGCTTATAGCCTTCGGCGGCATCCTATTTCCCGGACTTTTTACTGTTAACCGCCGACCCAAAGTCACCACTGATGCCACCATTCTTGTTGTTTTTATATCCTCGCGCCGCCAACCGTCACAACGCATTGCGGCTGCCGTAAGCTCGAAACCGCACGAGTCAATCCATTGCCAGCCATAGGTTAGTGTCTTAGCCAAGCCAAACGTCACTGTGTTCGTTCACATGTTTTGTCAGCTCTGCGGTCGTGTCTGCGGTTGATCGCTTGCTACTGCGTGCTATCATCAGTGATCACGTTTCCTGACCTTTAGCATCCACCGAGTTCCTAGCTGTTTCGTGCTGCGCTTTTCATCAAGGGTATTCGCCGTTTACAGCGATGACACCGACTGCTCCTTCGTCTTCGTCTGCGCTTTCAAAGCGCACAAAGCCCCCTCATAGGCTCTCGATGGGGAAAGCTACGCTGTTGACCTCAAGTCTGCTGTTGGCATGCTATCAGAATCGTGGAAGGCGATTACGCAAGAGACTCTGCGGAGCTGTTTTCACCACGCGGGCTTCACACTCGATGCCGAGACGGCCGTCTCGCATTAAGTGGACAGCATGTGTGACGAACTGCAATCCGCGAATGATGCCTTCGACGATCTGCGTGCTGCCAGTGTGTCGATTCCAGCCGGGATAACCTTTAAGGGCTTCGCCAACACTGGCAAGGACATCGAGCTATGTGTGGAGTTGACCGATGATGAAATCATTCGTCAAGTTACGGAAGATTCCGACGGCTCAGACACTGACAACGAAGAGCAATCTCCTACACAGCCAACGCGAGCACTGATGACACTGTCATCGATGTACAGTGGCAACATGACGACTGAAATTGAGGAAGATATGATCGCGAGCAAGCGAAACACCGTGCAAAAGAAAATAGGCTCTTTTCAGAACTGCTCTTTTCAGAGCTCTTTTCAGAGCTGCCTAAACAATGCATTGACTGAATTGCAATGGGAATCTTGTACTCTGGTCGTTACCCTATCCGTCAGCGTAAAATACCTACAAATAAATGTGCGTTTTTATGTGGATTCGTTTTTTTGGACTGCCCGATTTTCTGGACATTTTCGCAATCTCTCGAGTGTCCGGTAAATTGGACGTCGACTGTATATACATTAATAATGATATCTGGGGTTTGACGTCCCAAAACTACGATACGATTATGAGGGAATCCCAGTGGAAGGCTCCGGAAATGTTGACCACCTGGGGATCTTTAATGTGCACATAAATCCAATAAGACTGGCCTCAAACATTTTTTCTTCCACCGAAAATGCAGCTGCTATGCTCAGAATGCCCAGTTTATACAGTACACATTATGTGTAGCATTACATACACTTCAGCGGACTTATATATTGGTGAACATGTCATCTTAGCTATCGCACAAGTTGATGGCGTAACGCTCACGTCTCGTGAAATCAAGTAAAAATTGTCGCCAGTGCCAATCTATTTGTCATGTGCGTGTGCAGATCTACAACTGTGGCGCCTACAACCAGCGCCTGCAACTGCACCACTGACTAAAACAAAAAATTCACACTGGCTTGTTGTGCACGCTTACCAGAACGTTTTTGAGCTTGATGTCTCTGTGGACGAGGCCTTGGCTGTGAAGAAAGCGGATGCCTTGAACGACATCCAGTGCAACCTGCAAGGAATGAAAGCGGTTGAATGTACTGTAGAACAGCTACTATACACACTAGGAAGTGCTTGCCATATCCACAGTATTGTACAAGTTACTTTTGAAGTGACAGAGCAGAGCATTCTAAGAGTAAGAAAACTTGTATGACATACCAAATGTCACAAATTGACCTGCACTTTCTAATTGCTTGTGGTAAGTTAATAACCACTGGTAGTTAATCCTTCAAATGCTATCACAGTTACTGCCTTTCCACACTCGAACCTACTTATGATATCAGATCTAAAAGATAACGCCACAGTTAACTAGATTGATTGATTGATATGGGGGGTTTAACGTCCCAAAACCACCGTACGGTTATGAGAGACACCGTAGTGGAGGGCTCCGGAAATTTTGACGACCTGGGGTTGCTTAACGTGCACCCAAATCTGAGCACACGGGCCTACAACATTTCCGTCTCCATCAGAAATGCAGCCGGGATTCGGGCCCGCGACCTGCGGGTCAGCAGCCGAGTACCTTAGCCCCTAGACCACCAAGGCGGGGCTACAGTTAAGAGTTTTTCTTAACATACCAGGCAGAACTAACATTTTTTAAATGCTGTATTTTCACAATAAGCACTCGAATTCAAAATCTGCCGCTGAAAGGTGCCAGGAACAAAAGATTAGGAGAACACACACTGTTAAATCTTGACTGCCAGCACTAGCACCAGCATTTCGCTTCGTCGCACCTTTTGGAGAGTTGATCTGTATAGCCAATTGTAATACCACTATTTGTGGCAGTATCATTTATTATAAGTGAATTAAGCAATGCTTATACGAAGAAAAATAAGGCACATTGCTTTTATAGCAAGTATGTTCAGGAAGTTTCTTTTTGAAATTTCCAGAACAGTGCTTTCCGTATGCCCTGCCTAGTTCACTGGGTTGGCATTTAACAAATTATATAAGCAACTTGGGCCTTCCGATAGATGTGGCAAGGTCTTAATGTGCATGAGATCAATCTTGTTCTCACCCTTAGCCTTGCAGGCCAGCTGAGCCCTGCACGCAAGGCCGTGTAGAGGTCCTTCTGCATGCGGTCCATGACGAGCAGCACGGCTGGCGTGGTCCCACCGGCGTAGTTATGGTCGATGACAGACCCCCGAATCTGGACAATGCGGTCGTGATCGGGCACGCTGCGGGTGTAGAAAAACTCCATCGCCAGGTCGTTCCAGTGCTTGTCATCGGGGGGAACCACCGACTTGACAGCGCAGGGAGACCGGCCACCCCAGGGTTCGCTTGAGTACACCACGCCGTATTGGCCGCGACCCAGCTCGCGTCCCAGCTGGGGCATCCCGTAAAGAATTTCGTCTCGCAAAGAAGTGCTTTCCAGGGCACAGCGGGCAAGGCGTGGTGCGTGCAGCTTTCGTACCTGTAGAGAGTTTGCATACAATGGCGAGGTTTTGTAATGCCTGGCAAGTGCTTTCAAGCGTCGGGAGCTAGACCAACTGCCCGTGTAGCACTCCGAGCAGTATGCAAAACAATAATAATCACCTTGACTACCACTGCAATGTTGCAACAACCATGCACACGACGAAAAATTAACAGTGGGGCAGCAATTTAACTTCCTAGCAGCACAATCTATCTTGAAATGTTCCAATAAACAGATTGACTACAATAGAAAGTATGGGACAAAGGTGAAGCAACACTAATATCAGCTGGGATAAAACTTATCAAGAGAACATGGAGAAAGGAAGATGACATGGCATAATTAATGGCTAAAGGCACTCATGCAACAGTAATAAGCTATAGAGCAATAATAGGCAATAGAATAAAAAGTCGCTCATTCGGTGAACCAATTAGAAGAAAAGGACCTTCATATTGCAATTATGAAAGTTTAATACAGAAATTAGTCTGATACATCAGTTGGTACTAGTGACTTGTATGATAAACAGAAACATTTTTAGCTGTCTTGTACGAACTGTCAATAATAAACAATACAAATAATCTCTATACATAAGCATACAAAGTAGTAAAGTGAAAAGTAGATAAGAAAAAAAACTCGATAAAAAGGAGGTTTAGAAAGGAAGTTTTGCTAACAGCAGATGCTGTAGGTCTGTATAGCAGTAAACAGCTCTAGAAGTTCCACATGGCAGTGGACGGCTCTAGCAGTTCCACATGGCAGCTCCACATGGCATACGGCAGTACTTTTGAAGTAGATATACTTTAAAAACATAACTACGAAGGTGGTTTGCCAGGAAGCGACTATTCACACAGTCCATTTTTGTAATGAGAATGACTGTGCAATGGAAGGGATGCGTCTGGCCCTATATTTCATAAAAAGATTATTTAGTGAGCTGTGCCAGTGACAGACAACTGCGCAGCAATAACGAGCATACCAAAAATGATCTCTAAGGGGTTTAGCACTCGTCAAGAGGCACTTCAGAACCACCACTAATAGTTGCTGCTATTTTAGTCACTAGGTAGAGCTGTGAATCCATGACAGTAACCTACCAATCGCGCTAGCACCAACAAATGATGTGAAGGTGGGATGACAATAGACGTGCCTTATTTCTTTACGAAAATGACAACAATAATGCAGACAACACGAAGCACGAAGCTAGCAAGGTTGATGAGCACTCCAACAGAGGGGTGTAGAATCATTCTACTAACAAAAACAAGCCTACACAAGGGAGCTGTACCTTGATCCTTTGCGTTTCGGTGCGCTCCAGACGGCCCGAGTGGACAGCCTCCAATTGACGCATTGCAGCTTGAAACTGTTCGTGTGAGGACCGCAGCCGCTCACGGAACTGCGAGCAGATGCAACGGGCCAGTCTCCATTCACTAAGAGACTCAAGCATGTCTGCGGCCACCCTCTGGCGCCACTCTGCGTCGATCCGCGGAGGAGCACGCCCTGGCAGAGTCTGCACGAGCTGCATGTGCAAAGGAATTATAGAGATGGTATAACAACGGAATCCAGCAATGTCGCATAACTTGCTTCCTTTTTTATTGTTTGTGGCCTTCAAAATTCACTCTTTACATTATCACAGGCAGAACACTGACTTAAATGCAGAAGAAAGCGGCACCTGAAACACAATTATACTTCGTTTACTTTAAACATATCCATTACATGCCAACGTCTGAAAAACCCTTTATATGTACTGTATTTACTCGCGTAATTAATGCACTTTTTTTCTCGAAAAATCGAAGCAAAGTTGGCGTGCATTTATTATATGGGGCAAATTCAATGAAAATTTTTTGAAATGAGCAAAAAATGTGGTAATGCTAAAAAACATCAATAAAAAAGTAATGCCATTTAGCCTTTTGCAATTGACATACGCAGACACTGTTGGAACCCGCTTCCTCGTTGCACTTTCCTCGTCTTCGGTGGTTGATGATTGATTGATTTGTGGGGTTTAACGTCCCAAAACCACCATATGATTATGAGAGATGCCGTAGTGGAGGGCTCCGGAAATTTCGACCACCTGGGGTTCTTTAACGTGCGCCCAAATCTGAGCACACGGGCCTACAACATTTCCGCCTCCATCGGAAATGCAGCCGCCGCAGCCGGGAATCGAACCATGACCTGCGGGTCAGCAGCCGAGTACCTTAGCCACTAGACCACCGCGGCGGGGCCTTCGGTGGTTGATGGCACTACCTTCTGCAAGCTCTCCTTGCGCCGCTCGCGCACCCCATCAAAGCGTTTTGCAGACATCTTTTCTCGCAGCAAGCTACCAGCTAAGCATCAAATCAAACCGTCAATAACAAGATTAATGACAACATACGGCTGCCACCCCATGGTCCAGATGTGAAGTTACTATAAAAAAGGTAATATACATCTTGCATTCCTTGAAGCACGCCTGGATAACGAGCCCGAAGAGCATATTGTAACTGAAGTGAAAATCGCTACTATGTTGCAGAAATAGTCGCGATCTTTTCCGAGCTACAAAAGATTTTTTTCCGGTTTAAAACCTGCGAGGTGACGGCTACAAATGGCTTTTTCCAACAGTACAGCGACAGCAAATCCTGTCACCGTCGCTCGAAAATTGCGTTCATGTGCCTGGGCTTTCAAGTTTCGTATTTGCAAGAAGAGACTGTCGTTTGGCATGGGCAGTTTCGCGACCTTTGCTCACTACGTGCTTATCAGCTGCAATGTCTATAAACTAACCTTCGTGAACTCAGCGGACGAGAGGGGCAGGGAAAACGTGAAGAATAGGAGCGAGCCAAGGTGGATGAGGGGGGTCGGCATAAAAAATGGAAGAGATCCAAAGGGCAAGGAGGCGTCATGTGTCGGTTAGCGGGACTGCAGCGGATCAATGTAGGGGGCATATTACGCGAGTAAATACAGCACTTCACTGCATCTGTTAATCCTATACCTGCATCCACTATATCAAGGTCCCACAATGTGGATTATTTCTCAAATACAGCAGAACCCCACTGATACGTTTTTCGTGGGACTGTAAAAAAAATGCGTAGGAGCCGGGAAACGCAAGAGCAGAGAAACGCGAAAAATTGAGAAATAAGAGTAGTGGTGAACTGCACATAGTTTCATTTTAATTCTTTTGCTTGAAAAAATCGTGCAGCGTTGCCTGGTGCATCTTCTCACGCCCGACAAGCGCAAGGCATTTTTCAAGCGCCTGTAGTGCCATGTGGCTCTCAGCATCGTCACTGGTGTGCACATATCTTCGCAATAAATCCAGTGCCGCTACGGCTGATGAGGACGTTGGCTCAGGTATCTGCTCCACCTCCTTTTCAACTTCCTCGTCACTGGCGCACGGATCAGTGCACTCAGCCACGATGTCGTCGACGGATAACATCGCTGAGGTGACAACGGCGTCGTCAACAGAAGTGTAGTCACTGTACGCGATTCCGAAAATGTTCAACTTCTCTTGCAGCGAAAGTGATTTCCGCTTTCTTGATGTCATCCTGTTTGAAGACTATTCGGAGCGTTGAAAGTGTAAAGGCACTATGCTACACGCTCGTATAACCTGCCCAACGACCGACACGAAACAAAGGCAATGCGAGAAGATTGCACCAAGCACGGGTAGCACGGGCACACATGGGCGATGGTGATGGCCATCGGGCTATATACCCTTTGAATCGGGCCGCCTGCGCGACCTGGTGGCGATAAGCTTAAGCCAGCGTGACATCCCAAGAAAACAAAAACAGGTCTCTGAGACCTTGCTTTTACAGATGCCAAAACCAATTTTAGGGTCCCAACGCGTCATAGACAATCTTTCTTAGAGTGCAAATACGGATCTCAAAGGTCATGCTTTTGCTGGCATGAACCGAAACTACGTCATAGGTATTGCCCCGGGCACTTTGGGCGGCCAATCCCATCGTGAAGCCGCCAAGCCAAGCTACATGAAAGACAACATGGCCGCTCGGGCCGGCGCGTCGTGGCACTTCGCAACATATGATGCGGGAACGGTCCCACAGTTGCGACGCAGCAGCGGGGTTCCCAATGCATCGGATCCTATGGTAGCTGTGCCGGGACCGGCCGAAAATGATGTAACAGCCAGGAAAACGCAGCACACGGGAACGCAACAGCGGGGTTCTACTGTATCAATAGGCTGCTGTTAAAATGCATGCCAGCGGCATACCTATCCACTTTTATCGTTCTGCCCCATTCACCGTCTGAAAATGGGTAGTTCATTGCTGCTGCGATTCTTAGATACCGAGAGGCTTCCTAGGCAATGCAGTCACTCAAGCTTACAGTAAAAATTGTACACGGACATGTGCAGTCCTGAGTTGCAGAAAAGTATTGAAATAAGGCATGTCCCAGAAAAATTTTTAAGAATAACAGAAATTCACCTAGAGAGACTTCGCAAAGGTTTGTGAATTCGACTAACCTGCTTCATTTTCTCCCAGAGAACCCAGAGTAAGGAAGAGCTGGTCTTCACGGTCACTTCTACCTACGAATAAAAGTACAGAATATCAGAATTACCCTGAACAGTTCAAGCAAGTATGCCATGCAAAACTTTCAGACAAAAAGAAAGTCAGAAAGAAAGAGAGAACAGAAAATGGCAATGGGCTTAATGTCTGGTAAAACGACGGTACACGACTGTTACTGGTAAGAATAGGAAAGTTTCGTTATATACACAGCATTTCCATCTCCATTATGGTGTAAGCTCACAAAATCTGCCCTCGATTAAAAATAAAACACTTGTCAAAAGTGCTTAATTTTAAGGCACCAAGTTCCATTTAATTTGGATTTACCTTACAGCACACAAGTTAGTACTATAGACAATCTAAAGAACGTGCTCCAGTGGCAGCAGTCATAGCCTGAAAGAAGCAAACTAATTACTGTTGATACACTCAAACCTCATTATACCTCATTATAACAATCACATCTGCCACAAAAATACTTTGTTATATCCAAAAATTCATTCTCTGTTATAAAAACTTCATAAATATTTTGAAAAAACACCATCCTACGTAAAACTGCTATGCTATAACACCCTAATCAAAACTAAACTAGAATATGCATGTATTGTTTGGGGTCTGTGTACTAAAACTAATACCAACCCCAAGAGAGCGCAGCAAAAGACAGGAAGATTTATATTTAACAAATTCTCAGGACAAGATTCTCCCACAGAACTCATGAAAGCTAGCAATATTGAACAACACAAGATGAGAAGACAGAATCGGATACTGAAATTTCTCAAACTACACGAACAATTCGCCACTACACTCATCTCTCTATCGTCCCTATTAACCCGGACCACGCGTCACCGTAGGCAAGATGCATTAGCACCCTACTTTGCAAGAACAAACATAATTAAGAATTCTTTTTTTCCTCCTACAATAAATTGAATGGAAAAGTGTAGTTGAATCAACCCCATAATGCTGATTATTATTAATTTGTATAGCGTTCTACCGAAAACTGACTGTATTTCTGTATTATTGCTGTTTGTTTTTTCTTTTTTTTCTTCATCCTGTTCACAGTTTTACCATTTTATTGCCTGCCCTGCTTAGACTACGTGTCCGAAGTATTTGATAAATAAATGAATAAATACCCGTATTTGTTATATCAAGGTGCGAGTGTATGCGGTCCAATTTTCCCGGTGAAAGTGGAAGGTATTAAGACTATTTAGCTATCATAGTTTCAGTCAAGCCCACACCAATTTCTGGCACCATCTCGTCTCTAAAGCAGTCGATGGTTGAATACAAGAGTGGGCTTTACATGAGTAAGCACTGCAAGGTCCTGGTGTAGAAACGAGTGTTTTTTTTACACAGTCCGTACTCAAGGCCCATACTAACCTGATACGCCGCATTGAGAATTTGCTTGAGAGCATTGCTGGCCTGCATACAGTCGTCTTCCTTGCAGACGCCTTCCAGACTTGCGAGGCACCTCTCCAGAGTGCCTGTACGGTGAGCAAAGCAAATGATTTTTAGTTGGCTTGTGTGAACAATAAGTTTTGCATTCAAAGAGAGAAGTAATTTGGTTCAAATAATGTCGAATCAAATTCAGATAGTATTCATTAATATAATTGCCATATTTTTTTTATAACCAAAATGACATGCACAATACTTTTTTGAAGTTTAAACAAAGCACGAGCAAATTTCATTCTTTTTGGTTCAAAGGAAGCAGAAGCAACTTTGAATAGTTGCAAGATTTGACTTTCGGTGGAGTACAAGTGACAACCTATCAACTATGTTACATTCTTAAAATTTACGAAGACCACATAAGCTGGCATAACATGCTTTTAAACTTAAAAAAAGAAAGGAAGAATCAATGAGAGGATAACACTATTTAACCTTGAAGTAAGGCTTTGCAGCAGTGCGGATTTTCCTTGGAAAAGTGTATTCATGAAACAGCAACCCTTTACTGCAGTGAAACCACCTTTGCAGAGCATAACATGAGGTCTAATATGCATCACCTATTTGTTCACTTCGAAATTTCCAATAACTTAAATTCAATCAAATAAAAGTGAATATATTAGAAGGGCTTAAATATTCACACAGGCCTAGTTTTTTCAGAGAACAAACAAACGTCAAGGCTGATGAAGTTTCCAGAAGAATGCACAGCATTTAAAAAGGTTCATGGAATTACAAGTAAAGTTCAATAAGTTAATGACAACTGCAATCAAGTGCCGAACTCTAACGTAGTTTCAAGGCTTTGCGCAAACAAGCAAGTTCGCTGTTGCTACAGTACGCTAGCAGCTTTCCCTTGTTTCCATGTTTAAACAGGCTATCATATTTCAGAAGTCTAGTACTGTGATAGATATGTGGAGTTTAAACGTCCGAAAACCACCATATGATTATGAGAGACGCCGTAGTGAGGGCTCCAAAAATTTCGACCACATCTCTTTAACGTGCACCCAAATCTGAGCTTACGGGCCTACAGCATTTTCGCCTCCATCGAAAATGCAGCCGCCGCAGCCAGGATTTGATCCCGCGACCTGCGGGTCAGCAGCTGAGTACCTTAGGTCCCAGACCATCGCGACGGGGCAAGTCTAATACTGTGCATAGGTGCATTGAGGAACATGCCAGTACCCCCACTCTTTGGTTTCAGTCTGGCATTCGTGCTGTTAGTAATGGCCAAAAACAATTGTGACCCTGCAGTCCCTGGCTAGGAAACAATTTTGCTTGTGTCCAATAGTACACTCAAACTTCACTATGACAAAGTTACATCTTACACAAACACAAGTTCGTTATATCCAAAAATTTGTTGTAAGAATATATTTCTAACACTATATACTGCAAGACTATATTTCATTTACTTTGTTATAACCGATTATCCACTACATCCATGTTTGTTATACCGTGGTTTGAATTACAAGCATTACACAAAAGCACAACTGGCTTCGCGAGTAGCAGTGGCATGTGAAGTCTACTCACCTACAAAGCTCTCACGGAGGCAGTTCATAGAGCCAACAAGCTTTTCGGCAACGGCAGCATTGAGCATTCCTAGCACAAGGTCCTGAATCTGGGAGGTGCAGATTTGAAGAACACTGGCCGTCGGTGGGGCAGCCTGCTCACCTTCGTCCACTATTACGCCTGGAATGGTAAATACATTGCTCCAAGATCAAAATCAGCACTAACCTACCAAGAGGCAGCAGGCCTGAGCAACGTTTATTTCCAGATTACCTCAAGCTATTATCTAGCGAGAAATGCACATGTTGAAAATTGCGTGGACTGAAGTTCACATGTGCTCATCTTTTTATTTGAAAAGCAACAAAACAAAAAACAGTCAAAGCAGCGCTCATTCATCCTATTTATCAACTGGTTCCTACTGTCCCGTTCTCTTCAATGCAGCTCATGTAGATAGCGGACATACAACAGCGCAATCACTCCCATGTATTTAGCACCTCACTAACCAATTCTTGCAAGAAATATATCTCGGCCTCAGAACACAGCACATGTTCTCTTGCTCTTTATTTTAAATAATCTATGTAGATTAATATGTAGACTTTAACGTCCCAAAACCACCATATGTTTATGAGAGATGTAGTGTACAGCTCTGGAAATTTCGACCGCGTGGGGTTCTTTAACATGCACCCACATCTGAGCACACGGACTGCCCTACAGCATTTTCGCCTCCGTCGAAAATGCCATGAATCTACGTTGCCTACTCTGATGTACAAGAGGTCATAAAACAACTCGAAATTGAGTGCTTGGGTGTGCTGTGCATGCCAATGGCGATGAACAGGTTGGACAACACTGGCTGTGAAATAAGTGCAGAGAAGGATGAAAATGTTCATGCTTAAAAAAAGCGAGCATATTCAGGGCAATCGTAGGGGGAAACAAAGAGAACAGAGCTGAATTCCCCACTAGTCTTAACGTGGCAGTGCCAAGTTTCAAATGCCACGGCATAACAGCGCAATCGATTCTGTCAATTTACCTTCAAACTGGTAGTCGGCTGCCTTTTGTAGCACCTCCCCGCGAAGGTTCTCGATGGCACCCACAATAAGCTGCCGAATCTCTTCCTGCTTGTGGCTTGCTACCTCCATGAGTGCGTGGTAGAGACCCGTCTCCTGCTTGCGTGCGTACGCCAGCCGCTTGGGTGTGATCATCATGTCTCTCGTCATGTCAAATGCCGTCAGGATAAACGTCCGCAGGCAGTGCAAGTGAGTAGTGTTCAGTAGTGATGCAGCGCTGACCAGCAGCGACTGAAGAGCAGTCCGTACGAAGATGCAGACGTTGCTGCATGAGAAAATGCAAAGAAAAAAAATCCAACAGAATCAGTCTGTTGTTCCTTGCAGTACACTCAAAGATCTTTGTCACAAAGTTGCATATTATACAAAAATAAGTTCGCTATATCTGGAAATTCATTATAATGGTTTATTCTTCACACTATCTATTGCAAGACTATTCTTTATCTACTTCGTTAAAACCAATATTTTGTTATATCCCATATTGTTATATTGAGGTTTAGTCACAAGGAAGTCGACAATTGGGTTGGCCTGCGTGCCATGTGCAGTAAAATGGTCCAACTGAAGCAGTTCTCCATTACACCATAATCCTATGCTGAATTTGTAGGAAAGCTAGCTCATTTGGAGACTAAATGTGCAAGTTATAGGGGGCTCAAAATTTCACTCAAATAGTATTTTGAAAAAGTTAAAATTGTTCAGTTTACTCCATAGTTGTAAAATTGCCTACCCTCATATCAAGCTTTGTCGGTTTATCCTTACAAGTATACATGAAAAAGAAGCCTAACAGACAGACAGTTGGAATCATCCAAGACACCTGCATTATGAGAAATGTACCTCCCGAAACTTTCCTATCGCTTTGTCTTTTTAACCAGCGTATGAAGGCACCTAACTTATTGACTGCCTCAAGAACCCTAAGTTATGCACAGAAATTCATGCTCTATATTTAGTGCAAGATATGTAGCGTATTTATTGTAAGAGAAAAGGAAGAACATAAACAGCCTTAAACAAATAAACAAACACAGACAAACAAGGAAGAACAAACAAACAAATGAAGAAAGAGTGGGAGGCAGACAGACCAGAATAGCTTGGCAAGAGACTCCTGTTGTAGGTGCTGTGTTTGTCCATGTAAAGTGTCTTGAGAACAGAAGCAAGGAAGGAAGAGAGAACAGCAGCACATTGATGACGGCACAAGATGCACACTCCTTGAACAAACACACAGCACATCAGTAATTATGAACAAATTTATGGCTTACAGATTGTTGATAAAAGAGGGCCAACCAAGTTCCTCGAAATTGGAATGTCTACAGGCTATCAGGCTCGATTTGACACAGTTCGTGATAAACAACTCTGGTCTCTTAGTGACCGAAACGAGAAACCTGACTATTTTCGAAGGAGTTCAACATTTCCAAAATAAGACGTGCTAGAAGAGACTTGACAAAGGAAGGCTTCTAGCTGAATTGTCATCACCACGAGTTCTTAAATGAGCAAATCAGCGGCTGAATTATCACCACGAGTTTTTAAACGAGCATATCAGCCAGCAGAATGTCAGGGCTTTTGGATTACACAAACCTCATAACAGATTCGCACCGGCTATGAAGATACTTAGTTATATCCGAGAATTTCTTCTAAATGCATATTCATAATACTATCTATGACCGAAATGTTATTCATTTCAGTAAAAAGGATAATTTGTCATATGCGTGTATGTTATACCAAGGTTTGAGTCCTCCGCAATCAGGATGGGGGTACACTAACTAGGAACTCGATCCACGACCTTCTGCTAAGCCACGGGATTGCACGATTGCATTAAGCAGGAGAGGAACTGTTTGTCAGTCAGCAAAATCTCCTCCATAGTTCAAGACTGAAATGTTATGGGCACACTGAAGAGAAATAGTTCTCTCATTATCTGAAGCATGACGCTTGTAACAAGAAGACCCTCACTTAGGCTAAAAACACACAAAAAGAATATACAGGTGATAACAATAGCTTGAGGTTCCCACACCAACTTCCTATGGCCTCGCAGATTTAGATAGAATCTACTGACACCTGCATGATTCATTACAGTCGAACCTCATTTGGAGAGATCGCAGAATACAGTCGCCGACCGATTTTTCGGACCTGGCGGGGACCGAAAAAAAGTACGAAAAATCGAACAGTCCGAAAAATTCGTTTTCGCCAAAAATCTGAAGTTTATTGCATCAGGCAGGTTTAAAAAAGTCCTTGATGCTGCCTTGCCTCAAACTACGCTTGGAGGCAATTTGGTTTGCCCGTATTTGCGCCAAGGTGACATCGTCGCCGTAAACGCTCGACAAAATTGTCACCGCGTTGGCGATCTCCGATGGCTGCAGGCGGTCGTCGTCATCATCCGACGACAACGACGACCGCCATCCGGCGTCGACCGTCATCCAGCGACATCTAGCTGCGAACGTCCACTCTATTAGCTTGATTATGGCAGCTTTCTTCTCCATCGTCAGGGTCGTATACTTCACACGCTTCTTCACACCACCTGGCTCCCGCGATGGCACAGATAGCGGAGCCATGGCACCGAGAACACAAAATTCGATGTCGCAGATAGCCGCTGCGAAGCACACAACGTCTCGACGCTACGCGACACAACACGTGCAGAATGGCAACTGAAAAAAGCTGCAACGACAATAAAAGAATCCTTCTTTCACCTCCTCCCCGTGCGATGTGATGACGATAGTGCTGACCGAAGACGAAAAAACGGCATCCGAAACTTAAAATATGGCGTGCGCATTCCAATCTCGGAGGCAGGAAAGGCATCTGAAGACCAAGCTTAGCCAAGCCGATGGAAAATCCAACATGGCGGCGTTCACAATGGCTTGGGGCGTGGCACAAAACAAGCAATTTAGTCCGAAAAATCGAACTTTCAGGAGCCAATTCGCCCGAAAAATCGGTCGAAACAATGCATTAGCTCTATGGGATCCCTGACGGTGCATTTATGAAGTCCGGAATATCCAACAAGTCCGAATTTTTGGAGTCCGGAAAATCGGTCGGCGACTGTATTTAGGTGCCGAAGCTTGGGCGCGAAATTCAAGAATCAAAGCAACGATATTGTCATTGAATAACGGACACCTGAATGTAAGATTGACAATAGTAAGAGCTCTCAAAGAATACCAATTCATCACTCCAAACTCATTTTGGTCCCTTCAAACATTGCAAGGATTTTGCAAGGCCATGTAGCTCACCACGCAAAGTCGTCGAAGTTCTCGATGAGCTCGGAGCTGGGCGAACATCCATTGGAGCATCGAACATTGGGCCTCCTCCGGTCGTGGTGCCGCTGTTTCTCCGGAAAGTGCTTGGAGATGAAGCCCATGCTGCAGAGCTGCTGCTGTGCTGTAACGGGCAAGGTGATCACAGACTTGGGTGCATCCTCCTGCACAAAGGATGAAAAGCACAGCAGGATTATCAGGAATTTTCCACACGACAGTGTTAAAGAGTTCGTTTCACAGAAATTCTGGCGTCTGTGTCAGCTCGTTAGTTGCGGGCAAAAAATAGTCTTGAGCGTGACCGAAAAATTGATGGGAATACAATCAAATCCCGCTACAACGAAATTTACGGGACACGCAAAATAATTTGTTGTCACGGAATTTCATTGTAGTGAAATTTTATCTATAGACCACAAAAATAGGGAAGATCTGATGATTATGACTCGTCGTTTAGTCCCAGCAAGCGCATGCATTGAACTATCGCCAACTCAGATGTACATGGCCACACAGAATTGAATGTATTTTATTATGACACAATCGAAATACACAGAAAATTTGTACCTAAAGTCGGCATGTGAATTGTAATAAAATTTTGGTGTACATGTTGGCTTCACGGCACACCTTCACAGTAATACAAGGAAGATAACCTAGCGTCAATGCCAAGTCTCTTAGGGGCGAAGCTCCTTATAGCGGTACCCGTTCGTCCCCCGTACCCGTTGTAGTGTGTAACAAGTATAACATTTTGACCTCCAAGGTGGTGCTGGTGAGAGATTTCCTCTGTGCGTTGTTGAACAATAAAAAATAGTGCTCAATGTACATGCCAATGGCTGCTAAGGGTGAATGAGAAACGGGAGCATTCGGCTTTTAGTTAATGCACATGCTGCGATCTCCATTAGCAGCCATTGACATGTACATTGAGCACTGTCTGACAAGAAAGGGTTGCTGCGTTATACTCTCTGGGTGTAACCTCCTTAGTTTTAGAAAAATTTAGCTAGCGTTGAGCCGCAGTGCCATGAATACAATGAACTAGTATATACCATGAACTTGAGGTGCTTAAAGGTGGGAAGTAGATACGAAGCGCAAGCCGTAAGAAAGTGAACGCCGAATTCTCCTGTTTCTCATTTCCCATTAGCAGCCATTGGCATGTACTTTGAGCACTATCTGACAGGAAAAGGTTGCTACATTATACTTGCTGGGCGTAACCTCCTTGGTTTTAGAAAGCTTTAGCGAGTGTTGGGCTGCAGTACCATGAATACCGTGAACTAGTATATAGCATGAACTCGAGGTGGCTAAAGGTGAGAAGTAGACCCGAAGCGCAAGCCGTAAGAAAGTGTGCGTGTGCCACCACTCGTTTAGTCCTTGAAATGTCCGCTGGATTGCGGTGCTTCTATATGGGGAATATATGATGAAAAGATGCGAGATGGTGGTACTTGGAGTGTTGAATAGATGGACAAACGGACACGCAGACAGATGCATGGATGGACGCATGAACGGACGCAGGGGCTAATGTATGGACAAACACAAGGACGTACGCGCGAACAGACGCATGGACGGGCGGATGGACACATGGACGGTCACACAGACGGACGCATGGACGGACAGAAGCAAGAACGAATGAATGGACGAATGCTTCGCCCAACTCTCCATCATTCACTCCGTGGATATGCTGCCACATTTTTCCCCTCTTACTCCCGCAATTTGCAGTCAGGAGTGCTGGTTACATGCAGAGGGAGGTTAGACACGAGGAAATGCGGTATTCAGGAGAGGCTTCGAGCATATGAGTGTGCAGCGCCGCGAACGAGCATGCCAAAGCTTCGCTACAGGCCAAGTGAGAACTGCAACTGAAAGTGCTCAGTTCTAACGAGCAATAAGTGGATAGGACAGCCGTAACGCTCCCTGCCGTTTTAAGTCTTTATTGCCTTTAAGCTACGACTGTATTAGCTGCATGCCTTCGCAGCTTATCCTTTATCAATGAACGCGATAGGAAAGACTGCTTTTCCGCGTAGTGGTTGCAGCGAACGGTAGTTCCATTCTCAATCTGTGCGCACTGCACTGCTGCGCATGTGCCTTCAGAACTGCGGTATTGCTATATTTGTTCGCATCGACGTGGTTTTGTCCACATCATTGTGCCACGCAGTACTGCAACAAGTCAGTGTGCACTGGATGCGTGCATACTTTCGTGGTCTCCCATAATCACGTCGAAACGACTGCATTTGTGTTCGCAGCTGTGACAGCCGAATGTGGTTATGCTTGGACTAAGTGCAATCAGTGCGCACTAAATGCGTGCATACATTCGTGGTCTCCCATAATCACGTCGAAACGACTGCATTTGTGCTCGCAGCTGTGACGGCCGAATGTGGTTATGCTTGGACTAAGTGCAAGCTGGCCGCGTGTACTTGGGCTAGTGACAGCGAACGGCAGTTTTGTATTGAATGCGACGTCAAAAACGTGGCCAGATTGCTTAAATGATTCTGCCGCGACCCACACGTACATCAAGTTCATCGGCAGCATCATGATGGGTGATCTGTCACTGGGCATCTCAATAGCGAAAAATTTACGGAAAAGCGAGTGTAATGAATGAAAGCGTGTCTCCAATGAAGAACCACGTGTTACAATGCGGCCACGCGCTCTGGATGTCACGAGCTAATGACAGATGGCCTACTTGTTAATGAAATTTTTCGGCAACCTTAGGCAAGCTCCTTTTCTTTATGAGGTAGTACTTGTGAAAACTTGTAGCGAAATACCCCAAGAAATGTATTTGCTGTGATAAGAGGTTTTTCACTAAGTATCCAAGAAAAGTATTCGCTGTGGCAAGAGATTTTTCAGGTTGCTTTCTATGGGTGGCTGATGGAGAATCGAAAATTTTTTGTTGTGGCGAAAATATCGTAGTGGGCTTCGTTATAGCAAAACTCGACTGCAAATAAACTCTGGGTCAGAGCGGGGATCGAACCCGTCGCTTGCGTGGCAAAAAGGGTGTTCTACCACACAGCCATGTGTCTGCTTGTGAAAAGAGTGAAAGTAACTTACTCTGCTTGGAAATGAACTGAAGGTAGCTTTCCTGCTTTACAAACACACGGGTCCTGTATACACGCTTCACAATACAACTCGAGATATTGCAGTAATGCATGGCACAAGTGTACATTGTCATCAGGCGTCAGAACAAGCAATTATCATAATGGCTTCATGGTTTAAGGCCGGTCACCCACTACACAAAGCACACAAATTACTGTGCCTATTCTCTTAAGGCCACGAATTGGGAGCATGGCACATTCGAAAAGTTTTCATGCACTGAGTGTGAAGTACGCACTAGAAACAGGATGTCGCTATCGCATTCAACTCTTGAAGACGAAGCTTAAGGGTACCCAGTTTTTTTTCTGGACAACCAAACGGTCGTCACCACTATCACTCCATTTGCACAAGCAGCTCTGTCTACACACGCATCAGCTGAATTGCCTGAACATGATCCCCATTGTCAAAAGTCCCTGTCTGGATCTGTCGCAACACTGAGCAATCAAGCAACCCCACAGTAACTGTAAGAAAGGTTGAGAGTACAGTTAATTTCATTCTAGGGTTTTACGTGCCAGAACAACAATAAGGGATGCTGTATAAGGGAGGGCTGGATGGATTATGGCTACCTATGCACCTAATTCTCAGGGCATCGGTAATTTGATATTCGATCCCGACTGAAATGATGATGCCATGGTTGGTATCCAAACCCGCAACCACAAGCTTAGAAGCCTGACTGTCTAGCCACTAACCTTTTGCATCGAGTAATGCTATTACAGTAAAAGCTCGTTAATTCGACACCCATTAATTCGGAAATTCGGATGATTCGGACGGCTCTATTGGTCCCGGCCAAAGTGCATGTTAATCTATGGGACCAAACCTTCGTCATTTCGTCGGAATTTGGCTCCGCACCGCTTAATTCGGACAAATGCTGACGGCTGCTGCTACGCAAAAGTGTGATAAAGCAGTGCTGGCACCACTGGAGTGAAACCAAAACCTGAGTGGCATCGCCATCATCATTAACTAGTGGGGGCGATCGCAGCGTCACCGAACGTCGGCGTCTTCTTTCTTCTCTACTCAGCGCCTTCAACGCCATTTTCCCTTGTGTAGTCGTGTCGGAACCATCTCTTCTTGCGGAGTTCTTTTTCTTCCATTGTGACCGTATTTGCATGCCCCCACTTTCGTGCGCTACAGTGATGGCAACGCCGAAAAAGCGGCAGAACTACGACGCGAAGAACTTGGCGACTAAAGTGGAAATTTTGGAAGCACTGAAGAACGGCGAATCGCGACAGCAGGTTATGACCAAGTACAACCTGAAGCAGAGCACAATGGGAACGTACGTGAAAAATGAACAACAGATTCGACAAGCCTTCGAAAGCGAGACGTTTCATGCCTCTAGAAAGCGGTTGCGAACCGCTCCTCATCCCTAGCTCGAAGAAGCTTTGCTCCGGTGGATTACTGACTGTCGCAATGCGCATCTGCTTTTGAGCGGACCTGTCATCATGGCGCAAGGTGAGAAGTACGCTGCATTGATGAACATTGAATCGTTCAAAGCATCAGAAGGGTGGTTTGCGAAGTTTCGAGAGAGACACGAACTTGTCTTCAGGAGTGTGTGCGGCGAAAAGGCCAGTGTTGACAAAAGCGTGACCACCGAGTGGAGAAATGTGAAGCTGCTGGAGCACATCGCCGCATATGAACCACGTGACGTGTTCAATGCAGATGAAACTGCTCTATTTTTCATAGCTCTGCCCGACAAGACTGTGACTTTCAAAGGGGACGCAAGAAGTGCAAGCAAGAAGTGGCAAGAAGTGCAAGCAAAGGATTACTGTGCTTCTTGCCGCCAATATGACTGGCACGGAGCGCTTGCCACTACTTGTCGTCGGGAAGGCGCTTAAGCCACGTTGTTTTAAGAACGTCAAAAGCCTTCCTGTCGAGTACACAGGGAACAGGAAGGCATGGATGACATCGGACATTTTTCGCAACTGGCTGCAGCAGTTGGACCAGCACTTCACGTCGAAAGACCGCAAGATAATTATGGTTGTTGACAACTGCAGTGCCCATAACTGTACAGTCGAACTGAAGAGCATCAAAGTAGTTTTTTTGCCACCCAACACTACGTCTGCTCTTCAGCCGATGGACCAGGGTATCATTCACTACGTGAAGTCGAAGTACCGCAAGCACCTGCTAGAGCGAATGATCCTATGCTCAGAAGCTGGAAAGTTGTATCAAGTGGACTTACTCGGCACAGTGCACATCATCGCCCACGTGTGGAAAAACACTCCGCCGCAAGTCGTCGCCAACTGTTTTCGGCACAGCGGTTTTGTGAGGCCCGAGCATGCAGCAGTAGCTGACGATGGCATCGAGGAGGTGTCAGCCGAGTCCACCGAAGATGACTGCCCGACTTTCGATGCTGTCCTTCCCACAAATGTGACCTTTCAGGACTACATCGCGATTGATCATGGTGTCCTCACGAGTGGTCTCCTGACCGATCAAGAGACAATTAATGATGTCACGGGCACCCATGAAGCCCATGATTCCGACGAAGAATCATGCGAGGAGATACAGCCGCCACCTCATCGCACCTCACGGGAAGTCTCAGAGGCGCTGTTAATATTAGAGGCCGCTTGCCTGAACACTCCCGACAGCTTGCGTGCTGTTGGCCATTTGGAACAGTTAAGAAAAATTGTGATGTCAGCCGGAATCTGCGCGAAAACGCAGATGACAATTACAAAATACTTCAACAAATAAAGGTATGCTTCTGCAGCTTGATTTTAAATGTTATTTTCCCTGTTCATTCGTTAATTCGGCATTCGGTTAATTCGGACAGTTTTTCCGGTCCCGTGAAATCCGAATTAACGATCTTTTACTGCAGTACATTTAATAAAGAAAGGAACCTCCCGACGCCTCGTTCCTTTTAGGTGGAAAAGTCATAGAACCGAATCTGCAGGTTCGATCTCTGCCGACAGCAAGCTGTCTTTTTGTTCACTTCACTTTCTTCACACCTACATTACAATCGATGCAATACACTTAAATACTGCACATTATATGTCCGTTAACTTCATTATCTACTTATTTTCAATATGGTTCTTAGTTATTACATTTAGTAGCATTGCTCTTAGTAAGAGCTAAAGGCAAATCTCCGAAAAATAGGCCTGTTTCACTTGGGAAAGGTTGGATGGAGTCAACTCTGGTCAAGTTTACACAAAAGAGACACTGAGTCAATTTGTCCGTCTTCAGGGACAGCCCTTAGGGGCTCACTGTTTGGGCTCATCACAGGATCTGCGGCATTGACGTTTCATGCAAGAGGAACTGCATTGCGACTATTACTTCTTGCGAACGATGCATTCAATGCAAGTCCTCACCACGCAAGGCTAGATAATCCCACCCTTCAGCCTCTGCTACGATACACATCAATATTTTTTTAAAACATGTCAGGCCCTTTGCTGGAACACCACAACGTAAATCCTGGGTGTATAGCCTGAAAACCACAATTGAGAAGGGAAAACGAAACAGAGAGAAGAAACACATTCGCACCTCAGTCTGCATGGGGCTCTCCAACGCCTGCTTGTCCTCACTGCCGCTGTTCTCGCCGTCGACGTAGGCAGTGCACAGCTGGACCTGCTCCGCAAGCCTGGCATTGCGCAGACTGCGAGCATGCTGCTCAGATTCTGTCAGCTCCGAGGTGGCTGGCAGGTTGGCCCGAATAAAGAGCACTGGTGTTTTTGGAGCGATTCTCTTCAGCTCATACAAGTCGGCCAGTTCCTGTAAAGAAAGCAAGAGAAAACATCTTGCACCAGTTGGGAAATTCATAGTTGATTTTGGTTGATATGTGGGGTTTAACGTCCCAAAACCACCATATGATTATGAGAGATGCCGTAGTGGAGGGCTCCGAAAATTTCGACCAACTGGGGTTCTTTAACGTGCACCCAAATCTGAGCACCCGGGCCTACAACATTTCCGCCTCCATCGGAAATGCAGCCGCCGCAGCCGGGATTCGAACCCACGACCTGCGGATCAGCAGCAGAGTACCTTAGCCACTAGACCACCGCGGCGGGGCGACATTCAAAGTTATGATTACAAAATTAAACGTGAGCATCGAACAGGTCTTGCTGTTGGGAGATGATGCCAACACTCTCCAAATGCACGCTGTTGCTTTAAATATTTTAGCGAATAAACATGAAGGGGCATGAAAATGTACAGATTACATTTGCTCGCTCTCTCTGTCCACGACAACACAAAAGCGGCAATCTAATACATCAAACCCGCTTGCCCAAAGTTAACTACATAACCTGTGTCTGCATATCCACAGTCCTTGTTTACTGGTCTTTACCGATTAGTACTACTCCAGATACTGTGCCTCCACGGTTCACCAGACACACAAGCCTCTACAGTTGAACATGTGGGCTGCTGACCTTCTCCGTGAAAGCTTCCTCCGCAAAGGCGTACAACAGCAGCGGAGTGCAGCCTTCGGTGGCCCGGCGATAAGTCTGTTCGAAGGAAAGGGTGTCATTGCACGGCGTGGCCACAACCTGCACCTCGTCCCGAAGCAGCGGGTGCTTCATGCGTATCTCCAAGGCAGCAGCGCTAAGGGCCGGATCCTTGCGCGCCTCGCCCTAGGAGGCAAGTAAACGATTGCGAGGTTGCACATCAAGAAGAAAATGCCGTAACTTGAGCACAAAATACCACACATATGGAGTTAAAGATGGACACATGTACGATAGATGGTGTCAGAGCTTAGTTAAAATGATGCGGTAAGAAGGAGTCCAAGCACCAACTGTAGTCGATTTGAACAACTTGAAGATACAATGAAGATACGACTTGAAGATTCACCACTAATCTTATGATAATATTTTTCATTGCATGAAACTACAGTAGACTCATTAAATGCAACCAGGAGGGACCAGCAAAATATGTACACTTGATCAGGAGCTCCGTTTAACGAGAGATGAACAGGGGTGCTGTATTCAGATGAAAAATCAATCATGTTCAGATGAATCAGATGAAAAATCAATCAAAATCAATCAGATGAAAATCAAACAGCTTCACATTTACAGAGTCTGCTGTACATTAGTTCATTACGTTGTTGAGCACCTCTTGAACATCCACTCTTGACACACTTTTGATATTAGCTTCAAGACAAATAGCAACTGGAGTGACTGGTATGCAACAAAAGAGACAGTAAGGCAGTCTTAGCAGTCCTTGTGAGTCACCCATGCAAACATTGTATTTTTAAGGAGAGCCATAATTAGCAAAGAGAGATGCAGCATGCAATATTGATGGAAGTAAAAGCGATCCAGTCTTCTAATCACATACCTCAACCTCGAGGTCGGCCCGTGGAATTGTCCTCCAAGGCTGGTCGTAGGCAGCCAAGTGCTCCACCAGCTCTAGACTATTGGGCAAGGCCAGGCTAATTTCCGTCTGGTTACCCGCCGAGAAACGAACCTGCGGGGATTACACACGGCAACACATTGGCCCAGTTTCCAACAAATAGAGAGAAAAAAAAGATTGATTCAGCAGAAATGTCCGACTGTCTTATGCAATGTACCATTTTTTTTTTTTGCTTTTTTCAGCAGACCATTTTCCCTAATTGTGAAATCTGCAGCACAATATGCCAAGCGATGCCTGTTCCTTAACTGTAGTTTCAAGGATGGGGACATCCACAGCAAACTTCTGCTTAGTAGATTTTTGAGCAACAGCAGCTTTCGCTGTGCATGTGGAGAGAACTGCGCTTTGTTGAAGGCTAACTGCTACAAAATTTCACTGAGGTTTAATGATTAAGAGGCATGCCATAGCGAAGTGCTCTAGAAATTTGGAATACCTGATGCATTCTTTAATGTGCACTGACATCGCACAGCCCACGAGCCTCTAGCTTTTCGCCTCCACCTAAATGCAACCGCCGTGGCCAAGATTTAACCTACGATCTTTGGGCCAACAGCTGAAAACCCTAGCCATTGTTTTAGAGGCGAACAGGGCAAATGAACAGGACGCAAGAAGCCAACAAAGAGACTGGTTGAGCCTGTTTTTTGCCTTTTTGGGTCCCGTTACTTTTCATTACCATTGTTATTGAAATGAGCAGTTGGAATTGCACTAACGGCATGGTGCCACTAAAACGAGACTACCTTTCAAACTAGACGTGTCGTTGGCACGAAAGAAGCACAACAACGTTTCTAGAACACCTCAGCAATCAATCCACGCCATATTATTATTTTGGTGTCCCTTTGACAGTGGGCCCTTAGTAATATCAATAGCACAATCATTGTAACAACAACAAAAAAAATCCCTTATAGAGAGAGAGACAGGTTTATTTACAAAAAGTCAGAGAGGTCAGCCCGAGCGATACTGCCCAATGCAAATTCTGAGCGCAGCTTCTTGTTGGGGCAAGGCCAACTGTGTTTCAAGTTATTTTCCATAAAGTTTTGACTATGCCGTAAACCAATTTTCCTGAAGCAAGGCAGCACCCACCATGCCATTATTCATCTTTTTAACTGTTAGCGAGGTACTCGCCACGCATCTGTAAGGTATTGTGCGCAACTTGTTGAAGCTGCATGGGGCTGATGACAAAGAATTATGGCTGGGAACTTTGCAGTGGGTGGGAAGCATTAAACCACACACTTGTTGTGCAACCAGCATTGTATGATGAGCGGTTATTTTACTCCTCTTCCACGCTATATTACATAGGTATTGTGATGTATTACATATATGATGAAGAAGGAAGACGTTAATACTATGGGCTAAACTATCATCACCACGAAAAGAAGGCACGAGATCGGCAATCGAGCACCATCATTTTGGTCTACCTGCAATCTTTTCGAGCTACCACCCGCTTGGTTGGCTCGTTTAATAAACCCCCATTACATTACATTTCATTACATTGCCTGACCTGACGCCTGTATGGGATCTTTCTGCATACTACCTTCAAGCGCCAGTGTGGTTCTGTGATTTGACGATTGATAAGGGGGGTTTAACGTTCCGAAACCACCATATGATTATGGCAGACGCTGTAGTAGAGGGCTCCAGAAATTTTGACCACCTGGGGGTTCTTCAGTGTGCACCCAAATAAGAACACATGGGCCGACAGCATTTTCCCCTCCATTGGAGTGTGGTTCTTAGGTAGAATGCTCAGCTGCTACGCAGAGGGCCTGGATTCAAATCTTATTCGATCTTGGGCATATGTTTTTCTTTTTTTTTATCTGTATCGGTTATGCCAATGACTACGATGCCGCTAGACGCAAGAATGGGCACGTGACAGTTGATCTCTACAACTCACCATCCTCCAGGTGAGCTGGCTCTCATCCCCAACCGGTGAGGTGACCGGCAGGACAGACTGGCCAAACAGTTCGTTGACCACCCGCGCCTTGGCCCAGCAGCTGTGACCGAGAACCACTAAGGCGACGGGCTGCATTACCGTGCGACCAATGAATTGGTCGTCGGTCTCGTTCAGGCGCAGCTGGGCTAGTTGGTCTACAAAATGAAATGGGGACATGAAACATGTCAACAACACATAGAGACCATTCTACATACAGAGGCAGAGCTGAGACTGCTTGCAAGTGTTGCTCTCTTTAGTCCTTGTTCTATACTGCACCCAACTTTTTGCATTCAGAATGAAACGTTACCAACCACCCCAAACAGCTGTCTTGCTATGTAGAGACCAGGCTGAATGACGGCACTAGTTGGTATAATCGAAGGAAACCTGAGCATTCGAGGCAGGTGCCACTTACACTACCACGATACAGCCATCAATTTTGTAAGAACTTTACTACAAGACACTGCTGGTTAAGCCAATAATATATAGGGTTTTCTACTTCAAAACGACTATACAGTTATGAAAGGCGCTGTAGTGGAAGACTCCAGACATTTTGACCACCGAGCGTTCCTGAACTTCTGCTGGTTAACCTAGGACCAAGGCAAATCAAAAAGTGCAGTGGCAGGTTCCTAAAATTTTTAGAGGCACAAATTTCTTGCATCAGAAAGCAGTGCACATAGAAAAAAATACTAGACAGCAATAAGTTTCAGTAACGTGCCACTGTAGGAAATGCACAAATATACCCCATAAATCGTATGGGGGGGTGGGGATAGCCTCCATGGTAGCTCAGTTGGAAGAGCATCGGATGCATTATTCGAAGGTCACAAGTTGTCTTTCCGTGCCAATTTCTTTCTTCACATTTACATTACAATTACTTCCGAGAACATCCCCTACACTTTCCTTGGCATAATTGTCAGTTAAACCTCATTAATACTTACTGTGTCTAACAAAGAAAACAGTTCCTTAAAATGTACACTTGTTTCCTTCATTCAGGAAACCAAGACGTGCAAAAGCTACTTACACGAAAAAATTGTGATAGAGACCTGCAAATAAAAGTGTGCCTAACAAGCAAGCCCATGTTGCTTCAATGACAAACTGGAGGAGATAAAATACTAAAAATGACAATATGCTAATTAGAACATGTTACGATATCGATTAGAAATTTCCATTTAGAATTGCGAGCTGGGATGAGACTTTCCAGACACTTTGAACACTTTGCCTGATACTCAATATGTCAATATTCAAGCTGGAAACAGATGAGCACTCTGCCTTTCCAGCAACTATTAAGGTTAGCATGAAAATGATTACCAGCCAGAAAATGATGAGCAATTCAGTTTAGGAAGAAGTCAATTATAACCTCAAAGACTCAACCACAAAAAACATGGCAGCCTCAGCCCGATGCTATACTTAAGCTAAACTATTGCTGTGGTGAATAAAAAACTCGATCTAAAGTTGTTTTTTTCTTGGCCTCACAAATCAATAGTCCTGACATTCTTTGAGAACAAAAGAGTGTATTGTTAAGAACAAGCTGTGCCCACAGAAAGAAAAAGCTAACACATAAGCAAAAAATGTAACCTTACTCCAACTACATAATAAAAGCTTCAAAAGATATTTTTTGGCATGAAACACACGAATAAATTTTTTGAGGAATTTTTCGTAATTTATTTATGTTACTCCCTTAAAAGCATTGAGAGTGGAATACGTGAAGGAACAATTTTGGCAATATGAAAAGGTGCATAAAAACAACAAGATCTCCACAATGCAACTTGAAAAAAATGACTACTTGTTAGAGGGCACTATCTGTACATGTCCGGTATCACTTCTGTGCACTTTTAAAATGCTAAGCCCAAAGAAACTTCCCAAAGCTGTCCATACGAGCATAGTAGAAACTACACATACAATGTGGCATAAAGCCATGCGCCAATTTCATGAAATTACTGTTGTTTCCTAGCCTAACTTTAAATCCGATGATCACTCTTATGTACTCCTTGCTCAATTTGAAAACAAGATCATACTTGTCACTGCTGCATATTCCAATGTTATAAAGGGTTATTTAGTGATGTCCTGAAATGCTTTGATTAATGAAATGCCACAAGGTTGTCAGTTTTGAAGAAGCTCTTGCAGTAAAAACATTTATTTGATTGATATGTGGGGTTTAACATCTCAAAACCACCATATGATTATGAGAGACGCCGTAGTGGAGGGCTCCGGGAATTCGGACCACCTGGGGTATTTTAACGTGCGCCCAAATCTAAGCACACGGCCCTACAACATTTCAGTCTTTTTCGGAATGAAGTTTTTACTACTAGGCATGTGACATGATCAGGTAAGAAGGTGTTTAATGGGAAGAAGGAGGGGTGGTCAGCCTGGAAAGTGGGTTTCTAGCCTGCTACTCCTCATAGGGGTAAGGGGAAAGAAAGAGAAAGAGGGCATGATGAGGGGCGATTGTGAAATAGCCCAATGAGTCACTGCGCACACTGTCAAGTTCAGTGTAGGACACGCACAGAAGTCTCTACATTAGCTACATTAGCACATGCTCTAAAGACAGGAACCTAAACCTGTGTTACTTAGAAATATGAGCAAGCCGTTTAGGTTGTGTTGGGCATGATCTACACGTTTCCAAGCACCCAGAAGCTTCTAGGCAATCTGTGAGGCGCTTTAGAGATTGTCTTTTGACCAGGTAAGTAGTGAGAATTTTAAGCGGAGTGCTCCAATGAGCAATCTGTTGATTTCTGAAGTCATTATGATGGTGCTGGCATGCAGATGCACAGCTGAGAACGGAACATATCCTACAAAAGTTGCCAACGCCAAAGTGCATGCCGAGCACTGTGCTTAATTAATTGTTCAAGGCACAATTTCTGTACCTCAAATCCACCAGTTGATGACCATATGCAACTCATGGCACACCGTAAAACAGCTGTAAGAATAGCACTACTGAAATTTGGGCTTGTTGGTGCAAACAGATGACAAAAATAGCACTGAACGAACGGGGACATAAGAAGAATAGCGCCTGTTTTGCGTGTCTTCTTGTGTACCCGTTTATTTACCACTAGTTTCCTCATCATCAGCTGTAAGAAGCTTGTCTCAGCCTGTGATTAGACAAGATGAAAGGAACCTCGATTGACTCCTTCATTCATTGCTGTTTACAAGTGTCTGCTTCTCGTACCGGTCAATTCCTAATCAATGTCAACATGTGAAAGATTTTTCCTGGTGAAAGAGAAGGACTGACAGCTTCTCATTTTGTCCAGACAAAAGATTTTCACGAACTCTCTATACAACAGCAGCGGGCTCCAAGCATGAACACAACAATTTACAGTACAGGTAAAATGAGAGAAAGCGAAAACGGCATTGGCGTCAAACGAATGACGTTCATAGCTGCTCATTCTTTGAAAACTGCGGCCCAAGACAATGAGGACGTTTATTTCCATACCAGGTCAAAGCAAGCTCGTAGATGTGACGCACAACGTGCCAGAGCTAGGCGGCTATAAGCGTAGCTACCAAAGAAGCTGATAAGGGCGCAGTTCGCCCCGCCTTTTTCAGTACATCTAATCGCTGTACCAGCAGGGGCCCTCATTCGCTCACGCTCCTCTGACCGGGGGTGATTTCTCCGTCGATTACACGAACTTGGGCCAGATAACACCGTACCAGTTCCAACCAACCACACGGCTGCGCATGCACTGAAGCAAGTGGACTACCGATCTGAGCTGTATGAAGAAAAGCTGCACAGCCGTTTAAAGGGAGAGAGGTGTTCGATCAACCGCCGCATGGAGGCAAACATCACAAAAAGATCAGTGGATCATAGTGAGCGAACCTATCAGTCTTCTGAAAAGGTCCAGCCCGCTCTCGCTACTCGTAACTCTCACTACACTGCACGGAACTAGTGGGACGGAGATGACGTACTCAACATGGCGAAAAGAGCACGAAAAGACTAAAGACAGGGAAGATATGCTGCTGTCTGTCTAAGTTCGCGGCGCAAAAAAAAAAAAAAAAATAGAGGAACGGACGATAGGCTGTAGTGGGCGAGCACGGATACGTAAATCGCACGTTCGCTTTTTATGATGCAAGCAGCGTCGCTTGTGTGCGCAATGACTCGCGCTTGCCGAGAAAAATCGGAGAATGGGCCACTCTGGAAATTTTCTGACGCAAAAGGAATATAATGGACATACAAGCCCCACATTGCCAATCATAAAGTTATCGGAAGAGCTAAACCAACACCTAGCTGTACGCACTTAACATTTCGCGCGCACACAAGTAGCTAAATGTGCGGACGCAGGCGCCAACTGAAAACTCGTGACATTTATTACACGAGGTGCTCATGTGCATCCGACGCACACACGACTTTGCCCCGCCTCTGTTGTCAAACACGGCAGAGGTTGTAAAGCAAGAGAGGGGGGAAAAATAACTTGCGCGCGGGACTGTCAACGGGTGCGCGTGATAACGGTTTATGACGAGGAAGCACGGCAAGGCGCTCTCAGAAACAACTGCGAGAAGGTAAAGAATAAAGCGAAAATAAACACAGCGAGAGCAAGGCGCTGCGCCGCACGCACGCGCAACAGGTGATTGGACGGCTGCGAGGAGCAACTCACGAAGGTGATCAAAAAACAATAAAAGAAAAGCGCGGCTCCTTGCGTTACTAGCGGGAAATACCGGTCGAATGACAGCACATGCACACTTCACCATCAAATAGGCTCGGCGATTAACGGAGCAATGTAGGAAGTAATACTGAAGCGAAAAACGCGAGCATCTGCAGCGAAACACACAGCCACGACTGCGGCACTGCTTGCTCCACGCAACTCACCTTCGCTGAAATAGCCGCACTTGGCGATGTCGTCGAGCGACGCCTTGGTGTCTCTCCATATCCGACGCAGGTACTTGCTGTTCTTGGCGAACTTGGCAAACTCGCCGGGCAGATTCGCCGACATCTTTCTCCTACGGCCGGATCTCTTCATTTGCACTCGCAGTCGGGAACGGCAGCCGAGAAAAACTTTCGAGGCGCACGGCCCCCTCTCCGCACAGCTGAGCGATAAGCCTAACTTCTCGTACGTCACGCAGGAAGCGACGTCATGGGCGTGGCGATTCCCACGTGACCTGCAACAAAAACGAAACCGAATCTGTCAAGAGAGATCGCTCCGCTGGTAACGCACGCACGCGCACGCTTCCTTGTCGCCAGCTTTTGAAGGTCGCGCCGGCAAGATTGCTTTCGTTTTGTTTTTACTGGAGTGTACTAGTTGATGCGCTCTTTCAACCTCTGTCTCTCTTTTCCCGGCATACGCGCTCTCCACAAACAAGTGGCGCGAACAGGAAAGGCGCGCGAGCCGGATTTCTCCGCTTGCTAGCGGAGTGAGCAGTACGAGTGCTCATCGCTGGTTCGTTCAGGCTTGAATTAGACGAGCACTGGAATAGAATTACAGAGCAGAAAATAAATTTTCAGTTTTTTTTTCTTTGAGAAGAAAGGGAACGTTCAATCAATAACAACGGGCTATGTTGCCGTACGCCACAGGCTCTTGAAGATGTTCTGTGCTTATGTGGTTTTAGGGAACATACGCATACAAGGCGACTGAAATGTAAACATCTAATCAATCTATGCATGAACACTAGCGCATACGACAGTAGGTAGTCATTCTATTAAACAATGCAATCAGTTTATACAGTCACGTTCAATATGAGTCGCAACAAGCTGCCAGCACTCAAAATGGCGCCAACAAAGTGGCACCTACATAAAAAAAAAATATGGTGAAGTTAACTATGTCCATGAGCGGTACCTTCTGAGCCAAGTTAGTATTTGTGGGTGTCATTGTTCACGCTTAGGGTCACAATAACCACAGCCAGCGTGTTGCAACTCGCGTTCGGAGTGACTGTACCTCTAATTTCTACCTATAATTATGTCAGCTTCCCTCACATACACTTTTTGCGGCTGAATAGATAAATTACGCACTAGAGGTGTGAAGAGTGAGGGAACAGCGGAGCTGGTTCTCTCCCCTCGCACCTTACCCTCACGCCCATTTTCCACCACTTGCATACTGTACAAGGATATGCTATACTTCACTCTGCCCCGTCCTTTGTCTTCCTCACCCTAACTTCACCTTCCCACCAGTTGCTATTCATTCTTGAAAGAATGCGCTAATGAAACAGACACAAAAAGACTATAGGACAGAACGTGCGCAGACTGCGAACTTCCTTTACTTTCTTTGTGTCTTTGTTTCTGCGCACGTGCTGTCCTCTACTTTCTTCGTGTCTGTTTCATTGGCGCAGTTAAACATTTTAAGAATGAACATATTAACCAACTATCCCAACTTTGCGTTCTTCAGCAGCTATGCTATGCTTCCACTTGCACGGTTGCGCTGAGCTTCGAGTTGTCACTGCTGGAACTCAAGCTCAAGTTAAAATAAAGAGCATCCAAGCATTTAAAAAAACAACCTTAATCCCCAGAGCTGGGGCATCGGGAAAAGGTGAACTGTTTGCTGATTGGTATTCTGACACCACCTGGCACATTGACTGGAATAGGGTACTGTTAGGAACAAATTTTATAGCAGGAAATGGATTGAAGCAGCCTGCTTCGACAGCAAGTGAAATGACCTGGCCACAGCTTTCAGCGTGCGCCACTCCTATGTCCTTATGTACAAAACGTAACTATACACTGAGATATCAGCCGACCTTCCGTGAGAGCTCACCGCACCGTGCTCGCTTTCGCCGTTTGGTGTCGAACAGCACTGCCTTCCGGGAACTGCACTTTCAAAGCGCCCAACGAAAATCCTGGCGAGTGCTGGCTCAGTGCGTGTGTACGTTTCTATTCACTCGCTGCAGCTGCGTGAACGGAGGAAGTAGGCAAACAATCTGTCAGGACACATGCATACACGACTGCGCCCGATCCGTCACGACGTGCCTCGTCGGCCGTTGTCTTGAACGTAGGGGCGTCACGCACTAGCACCTCCCGGACAGTTTGTGAGCGTAGGTGTTTTAATTTTTTTCCTCGGAATAAGCGGAACAACAAAGTACACTTAAAGAGGCCCTGAAACACTTTTCCAAGTACTTATGGAATTAATTCACTAACAGAGCTTATCGTCTAACGAATTCAACGCCGCAAAAATTTTAGGAATCCGTCCAGTACGAGCAGAGTACCAAACAATTGTCGCGCGCTGCAATCGCATTCGCTCTTCTCCTGTCCTGGCGAACGCTTGGAGACTAAGCAGGGAGGGATGGCAGGGGCAAAGAAAATACGTCACGCGCACCTCGTGACCTTGAGAACTTTTTTCTTTTCATCGAATACGCGGCATTTCCCGTGTGATCGTGCGCGCACGCGTGGACAAGTCGCGGCCTCCCGGGGCGATCCCTGTAACGACCGAGCGCGGCTTGTTCGAATCAGCCAATGACTGATAGATGGTCTTCTACGTGCGATTTTTGAGCGTCTCCGTCATTTCTCGAGAGAAGATTGATTGATTGATTAGTGGGGTTTAACGTCCCAAAACCACCATATGATTATGAGAGACGCCGTAGTGGAGGGCTCCGGAAATTTTGACCACCTGGGGTTCTTTAACGTGCACCCAAAGCTGAGCACACGGGCCTCGACATTTCCGCCTCCATCGGAAATGCAGCCGCCGCAGCCGGGATTTGAACCCGCGACCTGCGGGTCAGCAGCCGAGTACCTTAGCCACTAGACCACCGCGGCGGGGCTTCTCGAGAGAAGAGAAAACAATTTTTAGATAACTGATAATTTATTATAAATTCCAGGCCACGTGCTGCGCTATTTTATTTGGCTCGCTTGTTTTCGGGAGCCTCTACTACCGCCCGGCAGCATTTTCTGACCATGCTCAGAAAGAGTTTCCGGGCCCCTTCAACCACTCGGGTTCGATGACGAGAGAGTGGTTTCTTTCTTGCCTTCACCACCCTTCTGACAGGCGCTATTTCCTCCTCACCGCTTCTTACTTCGTAACACACGGGGGAAACGTCCGCACTAAGTGCTGAGCAGCCTATAAGGGTTTCGCGTTTTTCGTTCACAGATTAATTGATTTGTGGGGTTTAACGTCCCAAAACCACCATATGATTATGAGAGACGCCGTAGTGGAGGGCTCCGGAAATTTTGACCACCTGGGGTTCTTTAACGTGCACCCAAATCTGAGTACACGGGCCTACAACATTTCCGCCTCCATCGGAAATCCAGCCGCCGCAGCCGGGATTTGAACCCGCGACCTGCGGGTCAGCAGCCGAGTACCTGTTTTTCGTTCACAGAAAGCGAAGTGAAATCAGAAGAGCTATTCCCGCGGTGTCCGATTCGTGGCCATGCCCAATTAGACCTCCCCTGATTGGCATGAGCGCGCCACTCGTTTGCGGTCTTTTTTCCACAACGTCATTTTGACGCCACGCAGCTTTCACAGCTCTCGACACGAATGAGGAAGACCGAATGCGTTTCACCACAACAAATGCTGCCTCCAGAGATACACTTGTAGACGCACGCCGTGCAGAGAGGCTAATCACGTTAGCCCTAGAATGAGGTTTAACGTGGCCGCCCATCTGATGCCCCTAAAAGATGTGTACGCATTCTTTGGATCGCTATACAAACATCTCAACAAGTTCATTCGCACGCGCAGACTTGTAAAGTTTTGTTTAAAAGTCTTGTTATCGTACATTTCGTCTACTTAAATCATTTTTTCTCTGGGATTGCACTGGCGGGTTCGGTGCGCCGACGTGGTCAAGCGCGCCATGACGTCACGACTCACCGTTTTTTTTTTTTTGCGTACCTAAACGCGCTCCGGCGAATTAGACATCAGACGGTAGGCATGCGATACAGGACGAACCTAGGTGTGCGGCTGCTTGGCAAAGCAGTCAACTCGAAACTGATATCTCTCGTTACATATGGACCAATCGCACGCTTACTTCCTCGTGACGTCACAGACTGCTGGAGTCACGAATTATGCCGAGAACACGGGAAATACCAGGAAAGAAAATAGCGCTCTTGTCCTTTGTATTTTCAGAGGTTGTTCGGAAGGTTACCTATTGCGTGTGCATCCACCCGCACCGGGCTTTCGACGTCACGGAAGCACGCGCAAGCCGTGGCCGTAGCTGCGCACAGCTGTTGCTGCGGGCGACGCCAGCGATGTTTCCGCCCTTGAAAAAAAGAACAGCGACCACTTGTGCTCGTGGGTGTGTGCGTTAACGTGACGGGCCGCGTGGACAACGCGCCCTCTCGCAGCTGTGCGGGAAAGGGTGCGAAGAGCTCGAACTCCGGCGAGGCTCCGGTGCGTCTCGCAACACGCGCGCATTCCGCCGGGGCGTCGCAGGGTCGAGTCATGGCCGGCCATTCGATTGCGTCGCCCGCAGACTCTCCGTAGGAGAGGTCGGCGGTTTGTGCGGCCGCTCGGCTGCCATCTGCAGGCATGCTGCAGCACTGAGTGCGCGTCATCGAAACGCCGTTAGTCTCCCCAAGCGTCGTGTTGCCTTTGTGAAAGATCACAGCGGAACGTTCAGCGGCAGTAGATTCTCAGAAGACTCATTCTGACGCTTGCATTCACCAATGGCAGAGCTCCTTTCGCGTTTTACGTCACAAAATTAAGATATGATTATTAGAGAGCCCCGCCGCGGTGGTCTAGTGGCTAAGGTACTCGGCTGCTGACCCGCAGGTCGCGGGTTCAAATCCCGGCTGCGGCGGCTGCATTTCCGATGGAGCCGGAAATGTAGGCCCGTGTGCTCAGATTTGGGTGCACGTTAAAGAACCCCAGGTGGTCTAAATTTCCGGAGCCCTCCACTACGGCGTCTCTCATAATCATATAGTGGTTTTGGGACGTTAAACCCCACATATCAATCATCAATATGATTATGAGAGACGCCGTATGCAGAGCTCCAGAAATTTCGACCATATGGTGTTCTTTACCGTGCACTGACAACACAATGTATACGGGCTTCCACCATTTCGCAGGGCTCCTTCCATTAGAGAAGTCGTTGCTGCGCTGTGGTTGGTCCATAACGATAAACTGCAGAATGCAAGTTTTGTACGGGATATGAAAGAACACATGCATCCGAGGGCAAGAACTAACACGCAACTATATTGGGAAAAATTTCCTACATATGTACAGAGTCGTCCACGTCTAGTTTGA